TGGGCTCTGTCTGGAAGATGATTGACACATGAATCGAGGAGGTCTCTGACCATGTAGCAGGAGTGGGCAGGAGTATGCATGCCCCAGGGAGGGACCAAAGCTTTAGACTTCTGTACAAGATTTGCTCTGTAATATACAAATGAAGCTACCATTTGACAGAGAAAAGAAATAACAAAGAAAAGATATTCCCTCCGTGGTTCACACAACTACAGGTACATAGACACCTGAGAGTGCAAGACACCCAAGAGCAAACAGTTGTCTCCAGTTAGCAGCTATGTGTGGTGGCTTTGGCTATTTCTTTTCTATTTTGTTGTTGATGTTGTTGTTGTTGTTGTTTTTATTGTTGTTTTTAGTAATAGGACTGAACCCAGGGGCATTAATCCCTGAGCCACACACCCCAGTCCTTTTTTTTTTTTTTTTTAGTTTTTATTTTGAGACAAGTTCTTTCTAAATTGCTTAGGGTCTTGCTAAGTTGTTAAGACTGGGTTTGAACTCTTGATCCTCCTGCCTCAGCCTCTGGAGCCTCTGAGATCAAGGGCATTCCCTCCTGTGTCTGCATCTTTGCTGTTTCCAATTGCATCATGAATAGAACCAACATATAGGGAATGCTACACTTTGGTATTTTTCCCTTCCTCTCTCCTTTTCCTTTTCCTTTTTCTGAGTGTACTTCTCCTTCAGACTTCTGTTGTTGTCTGTGTGTGTTTTTGAAGATAAAGAGGAGAAAAGAGTGACAAAGGTTTGTGAAAGAACAAATATGTTCTTTGATTCTTAAGTTGCTGCCTAAAGTTCTGCGGAGCAAACCAAAAGCAGCACAGCATCATGGGAAGTAAAAGAAGAGACTGCCTTCGCAACACCCTGGGACAGATGAAGAGAATCTGGGCTTACTATGCATTCTTGTCAAAAGAAGCTCTTTTCTTCTTTTCTACCAAGGATAATTAAGTGCTAGTGTCTTAGTCCATTTTGTGCTGTTTTAACAGACTACCACAGGTTGAGTGGTGCATTTCTTACAGTTCTAGAGGCTACAAAGTTCAAGATCAAGGAGCCACATCTGGATTTCACATCCCATCATCCTATCACAGAAGGTAAAAGGGCAGGAGAGCTCCAGCAGAAGGATCAAACTCAGAACCTCAGGCCCTTTTACAAGAGGCCTTAATGCATTCACAAGAGAGGAGCCCCCATGTGCTGAACCCTCCTCTTAGGCCTCACTTCCCAACACTGTCACATTAGGAATTCAGTTTCAAACACAACTTTCTGGAAGATACTGCCCAACTATTGCACTTGGTATCTGCTGCAACACTGAAACATTGAAAAACTCTTAAGAATTCCTTCCTCCTTTCCTTATAACCAGGACACTTAATTTTTCATATTTCCAAAATACTTCCTGTCCTAAAAGTAGAATGGATAAAATGTTTAATAAAACAGGTTTCTGAGAATCTGCTCTGTTTTGTCTTGTAGATTTGGACAGCAATTATTATAGATAACACCTAAAAAAAAAAGACAAAAGTTTAATAGCCCTATGCATCAAATTTATATGGTAGCAATCTTTCAGTTTTGCCTTCCCTGGCTTAGGAAAGAGTATCCCAGATAAACTTCCTGTTTTCAATTCATTTATGTGCTTTATTTTTAATGCATTTTTTTTCTTCTAAGTAAATATCAATAGTTCCTGAAAATCGTCCCCAAATTAAAAGGAATATAATTTCACAAATAATTGCATTGCATTTAAAAATACAAATGTTTTCAAGAGTTGGTTCATTCCCTGTAGCTTCATTATAGGCTATGAATCTTTTGCATAAGGAGTCTATTAGCTGCATGCATACAGCTCAACCCTAGACCAAAATATGCCTCAACATGTTTCCTCAACCTATTCCGTAGAGAGAGAGGATGGATTGTAATAAAATGTGTGACCCTTAAATTTCAGCAGAGAAGCCCCATGTCAAAAGAGCAGCTTATAAAGATTTTTTAGAAAGATGAACACACGTTTCCATCAGGGATACTCCACCCTCTCCCAGAGGCAGCAAAATGATGTTTTATTTCTCTGCTCCATTCTGTTATGTTCACTTTTCTATAAAATTGTAAACACATCACTTGGGTCTAGTCCAGGGAAGATCTGTCACAAGGTGTGGGTAAGTGCAGAACCACCTTCTGAAGACAGGAACAGAATAGTTTTCACTGTCTGAATGGAATGCAACTCTTCTTGTGATACTTGTTTAGACAGGGGTGGTGTACTGTCAGGGGTTTGACAGCAGGGCAAATCTGGTGCACTGAGCTGAGAATTTTCTTCAAAATCAAAATTGAACAGGTTAAGTAACTTGACCTGTTCTTTAGTAACACTAGCTTGACCTAACAGGTTTGTGTTCTGATCACTGGTTCACAAAGGAGGGCATCTCATTTATGTGTTTAGTGGTTTAGAATTCACTTTGCATATTTGACATTGTTAATACACAATAGCAGTGTTCTGAGAATTGTAACCAGGATAACTATTCATTGATTTTTTTTTAATTTGATATAAAATCTTTTGAATTTGAGTCCACTACCCAGATGAATATAATTTCTGAGATCTCCTTAGGTCAGACATAAAGTGTAGTTATAAGAATTTAAAACCAGATTCCTGTGGAAGGAACTTAGGAATGAAAGGTATAAATCATACTTTGTATTCTTTGAATAAACCCATCTCTTTAAGCTTAAAACCTTCCTGATCCATCCCATTTCATTCAGGTACAGGGGATTTGCTGGAGCAATGCTTGATGTAAAAAGACCAATTTGGAAAGTCACTGGTCTCACCTGTGCTCTGGTAGCCAGGGCCATCTCAGAGGACAGGGAACATTACCCATTCAGATTCCACACAGAAGAGGTTCTTTCAGGTTGAGGTGGCCCTGCACCATTTTTAATGTAAGCAAAGATTCAAAATTTTGAGACGTTAATGGGAACTCCAGGGAAAACCCCAAAGGGCTACTGGGAAAATTAAAGCCAAGTAGAGGGAAATGAGAAAGTTTATTGATGTCTTAATGGATGCTTTTGTCACCACTCAGATGGCATTTTAACAGTAACTGATAAGTAAACTGTCACCACTAGGACCTTACTCCAGCAGAGATGTGCAGAGTGAAATAAAAACAAAAATAATTTTAAAGTGTGCCAGATTCTGTGAATGTCCACTGCCTGGTGGAGCTTGGGGTAGGAGATGGGGTCCTGCCCTAAGACAGACCCAGGGCACAGTGACCATATGTGCCTGGGTCACTGAGCCCCAGTTACACAGCGCAAAGTAACTGTGACAGTCCTCGCTTGTCGCCGACTCCATTGCTCCCAAATCATTTGGTGAAAATCTACCTAAGAATGACCTGGAATTCCCTTAGGGACACTTGATCACCTTTCTTCTCATACATGGTATAAAGCAGAGTACAGAAAGTGCAGCTCACATTTGTGTAAACAGCTACTGCATAGCATGTGTGAGATGCAAGTTTTTACTAGATGAAGCAGACATCATTTCCTACACAAAAGCATCTCCATTTCAAATATAATTTGATGCAGCAATAGGACTGTGTGTATCAGGGCCACAGACCAACTAGCTGTGTGAGGCTAACCCGTTCACTATCCATTTCTAACTCCAAACTTCAAAATCAGGGAATAAAGGAGAGAATTTCTAAGATTTCTGGTACTTCTAAATTTTCCAAATCATGCCAAGATGCAGTCTACCTTTAAAGAAAATATGGTTAATATGTGTTCATCTATACTTTTAAATTCTTTTGGTGGGAGGAGAAGTTTCCCATATCCTTTACTAGCTTGTAGCATAAAACTAACAGACATGAAAATAGTTCTTAGAGAACTGGATATTTCCATTTCCATTGGAACCTCTGTCCAGCTCCTGAAATGCAGATCAGGGAAGGCCGGAGGTCTGCTGAGGCCTAAGGAAGGTGGAAGTTTCAGTGTTTCAGACAACGCTCTCCTAGAATGTGGGAACAGTTTCAGCTCACTTCTGCAGAAATTCATTAATGCCACACCCTCTCTCCCCGCAAAGATACATGTACAGGTGGAGGCACCAGGCTCAGAGTCAGAACCACACAGTGGTTGAGAGCATGGGCTCGGAGGTGGACGTCTCCAAGAGGGACATGTGCTTCATTCATGAGCATAACAATTCTCTCTGATCTCAGCCTCCTCTCCTGTGCAATGGTGCTTATGCTAATAGTTCCCACTTCGTAAGACTGTTGTGTAGATTCAACAGGGATGTACGTTTTCAGCTAGAACAAAGTCTGATGGGCCACATGAATGTTAGACTTCATGGTTCCCAGGGGGGATAAACAGACCCACCAGGGACACTCTGAGTTAAAATCTCCTGGTGGTGTCTTCTGGTTTTGTGATAAGCACACTGATCCACCTAGGGATTACATTATGCCCAGAGTAACAAAAGCTTGCTGACTCACCTGTTGTCTCTTACAAACCAGCATTTTGTGTCCTAGGATGTTATTTTTTAATTTTAGAGCTCATTGATTCTGTATGGAACTTCAATATTCTTTTTAAGTATGTATGCTGAATGAAAAATATTTATCTGTGGTCCTTACTTCAGTTTAGTGTATGATGTTATTTTTGTTGTTATATTTTGTTGTTATTTTGTTATAAAGTGACAAAGCTAAGAAAAAGATATTTGTAAGTTTTGGACAGAGAACTAGAAGAGGGAGAAATCATTTTTTAAAAAAGGGCATTTAAATGAAATTGAAGTGAAATTCTCAGAAAAAAAATATTAGGAATATAAGATGGAAGGATATGGACACAGAAGGGAGACCAGAAGATTAGAGGAAGAGGATCAGAGAGGGGAAGAGGAGAGAGAAAAGGAAGGTACTGGAAAGTGAAACTGACCGAATCCCTTGGCTATATTGCATATGTGTATAAATATTCAGCACTGAATTCTACTATGTATAATGCATCAATACAACAAAAAAAGAAAAAGAAAAAAAACAATTTGGTTAAAATGTATCAAAAAGTAATGATAAACTAATTGCAACATTAGGTAGCATTAATTTGAGCAAGTTTTATCTTCAGTGCCAGCCAATTGTTGATAGCATTCTTGATTTCTGTAAGAAGTCCAATGTTGTACTGGACTTTCCTAAAATAAATAAATAAATACATAAATAAATAAATAAATAAATGATTTGCTATCTCTGTTGCATCCCTGACTATACAAGGAAGAGATCAGATACTCCAGCTCTGGAGACAAAAAAAAAAAATTCTTGAGGCCATAGTAGTTAGAATAAAACACACACACACACGCGCGCGCGCGCACACACACACACCTGAACTCTGTATAGAATTCCAGAAAAATATGGCACTAAGTTACTGAAAAAAGTAATTTCACATATTATGGGATTATAATTTAGTCTATGCTAGTTCAGGTAACAATAACTATTGCTCTCTAAAAGCAAAGTGTACATTAGGTGGCTCTGCTCAGCAATTAGAAGAGGATATTCCAGAGAGAGAAGGGCTTTCACACCCCCACACAGAGCTGCTGCTGATTCTCTGTGTCCCTGAGCAATTGACTGAAGGCCCCTTTGTCTCCAGTTCTGCATTCATAAAATCAGAAATAAAATATGCTTCTGAAATTACTTAAAGACCTCTGGTAGAAAGGTGAAGAATTCCACTGACATCTTTATGGAGCTGTACATCAAAGGAATAAAGACAATAGAGAAAAAAAGACCTTGCTTGAAAATAAATAGCCTCAAATGTAACAGCAAATTAAATGTAAATTAAAATTAAATGTAATCTCCTTATGTCAGACCCTCCTAAAACAATTCCCTTGGGTGTTTCAACCTGGAAGACACATTTATTTTGACAACATGTTATAAAAAGCGAGAGTTATTTGTGCAGTATTGGTGTATAAATTATTGGTTTAAAATGTTACAATATAAGCTCAATACATTAAGTTATAGAACATGAAACTTGGGAATAACATGGGTTGGTTGTGTTCAGTTCTTATGGTCATATTGTAAAGTCTACGGTTGTTGTCTTTTAAAATGATAAAGAAAGTTCATGGAGATGTCCCCTAACTTGAATGAAATCTTTTAAATTTATGTCTATAGAGTGGACCACTATCTTAGAATGTAGGGGTTGACTCAGTCACGTGTAAGGTTGGTCTCCCACAGGTGACTTACTCTCCTTACTAGGACACAAGTCCTATTAAATCAGGAAGCAACTTTTACAATACAACCAATCTTTTTTAAAACCTTAATCACCTTCTTAAAGCCCCGTCTTCAAATAATTTGGGAGTTATTAATTCAACATATGGATCTGGGAAGAACAAAATTCAGCCGCCAGCATGAACCTAATGAGAGAAAAACGAGAATCTTATTAAAAATATTAGCTCAGGGTGCATAACTGATACCCCAAACTGGTGGCTTAAACAATAAACATTAAGCAATATTTCATGCCTTTCTGGAGTTAACACACCTCCAAGCTCAGGGTGCCAGCACAGTTTGGTTCCTGTGATGATTTCTGGTGTCTGCCAGGTTTCTGTTCTCACGAATAAAAGGAAAAACATATTAAAAGGTTTTGATAATGTTTGAAATTAAATGTGTGGAAGAATAAACTCTTAGATGTAAAGGAATGAGGATTATCTAGATTTGTAAATAATAATGTTCTCATTCCCAGGCTCTACAGATGATTTGAAAAATTCTTGAAGTAAGGAAAGGGCCTCAGGCTAAAGATCAATTTCCAGGTGGGATAAATAGACCATTTGTCAAAGAAGATCTAACACAGCACTCCACAAATTCCTAAGAGAACCAAAGACTCTCCAAGGGTATTCAGGGCATGGCACACAGACCCTCTCTATTAAACCATATGGAATTTGAGTATCTGAACAGAGTTTTACTCACATAGTATCATTATGGCAACTCAAGTATGAGAAGATCTTATTGCAAAGATATTTGGGATTCAGCTTTTGACTAATGGTGCAAATTCAAATAAGATTCAGAGAACCCACAATATTTTAAAGTAATTTTTCTGCTTAAAGCAACCAACTGCTTTGTGCCGCAGTCCGGCTACAGCAAAATAACCAGGGCATGACGAACAACTTGTGTACCTTGATACAGCAGGAATGGGAGCCGTTTATTGTAGGACCAGAGGGATATATATACATTCCACACAGCTTATCTTAATTAACATAAACTAGATATAGCAGTCAACCAATAAGGAATCTCCACACTTAATGGCTCACTGGCATTACTTCACAAACCACTCCCTCTGCAAAATGCCAGACGCCATCTTGACTTGTTTACAGACCCTAACAATTCCCCCTTTTGTTTAATTTAAATAATGACCATAGTGGTTTTTAAACAAACACCACAAATAATCTGCTACAAGCAGAAGGGGAGGATACAAAATGCCACAATACCAAGCCAATTGATGACTCCATGCAAGAAGCCCTTGGAAAAATTATACCAGCAATGACACCGTTAGCAAAGATACCGAGTTACAATTTGTTGTAGATTACAGTTTGTTGTCTCAGTCCAGGTAAAGCAGTGTCTCAATAGATTAACTCACAGTCCAGGTAAATCACAGTCCAGGTAAGTTCTGCAGGCAGTTAGCTTAAATCACAGTCCAGGTAAGTTCTTCAGGCAGCTAGCCTAAGCTGTAGCAGCAGAAACAGCAACAGCTCCGAAGTCTTGTCCGTTTCTCAGTCGAAGTCTCGTCCAGTTTTCAGCAACACTGGAAATTCTTCCACCCTCCTCACATGCACTGGGATGAAGGCAGGAACTCTGGATGGCTAAAGAAAATCCTGTAGTATTCCAGCAGTCGCTAAGAAAACAACCTTCTGAACAATTTAGTACATTATCTCAAGGTTTTTTACATTTGAAATAAGCCTTAATATAGTGATCATTACTCATTAGCTTCCAGGTGTGGGAGAACCATTGTAGTTACTGGCCTTGGAAATGATCAAACTTCAGGGCCATCTTCCGCCTGCAGCGTCCTGGGCAGCCCCAGATGGCCCCGGGGAGAGTCTGGGGAGTGTTCCGGACTCAAACTGCCACTGGGCACAGGGAGCAAGAGCCTGCGAGACCGTGCCTTCGGGTCAGGTTTGGATTTGGGCTCTTGCAGTGGCGTCCTGCTCTCTGGGTGGGGGGCGGGGAAGAGCCCGCTGCTGCTGCTTGGAAAGTCCTTGCTGCGCCATGACCGGCTCGCGCACGTGGCGGCCGCTGCACCGATTCACGCACCCTCCGGTAACGAAAAGTATTCAGTAATAGCCTTTTGCTGCAACTTTTTTCCTGATAATCCTTCTTCTGAACTTTCTTTTTCTTTCTGACTAGAGTTCCTGGGCTTTCATCAACATATGCCCTAACTGCTCTTGATTCCACTGGGGTGCCTTCTTCCCTTAGTAATTTACTTCTCACCCCTTCCATATTTTCATCACAAAGACAATACAACATTTCAAGACAAAACAAGACACAAACATACTGCATCAATCTTCTCCATTTTCTCAAAATGACCATTTTTTCTCTGGCCCTATCTGCCTAGCAGATTTGCTCAGGTCCTTTTTTTTTTTTTCCGTCACTTACCCCCAAGTGTCCCGGGGCTCCCCATATGGGCCACCATCTGCCGCAGTCCGGCTGCAGCAAAATAACTGGGGGATGACGAACAACTTGTGTACCTTGATACAGCAGGATGGGAGCCGTTTATTGTAGGACCAGAGGGATATATATACATTCCACACAGCTTATCTTAATTAACATAAACTAGATACAGCAGTCAACCAATAAGGAATCTCCACACTTAATGGCTCGCTGGTGTTACTTCACAAACCACTCCCTCTGCAAAATGCCAGGCGCCATCTTGACTTGTTTACAGATCCTAACAGCTTTGGGCCCACATTATTTGATGGGCTGGAATAGACTGCAGAAGCCACTTTGTTACAAACTATTTTCTTACTGAAAAGGAAGGATGATATAGAGAATGACACTTAGAACCTAAAGAGGAGGAGCATGAATGATAGAGGAAATACTCAGGGGTTATAAATAAGCCACAGTCAAGGAAGTGGACACACTAGCATGACTGTAGCACCAGGGTAGCTGTAGTCACCACTACATGCCTTTTTCTCTGAACAGGAGACTCTATGAAAGGTGCCCTGGCCTGCATTACCATTGTTTGCTGACTATATTGGGCAGAGAACTTGTCTTCTATTCTTGTTTTCTCACTAAGAGGGGCTATACTTAGGCACTATGCTTAAATACCCATATTTGAAGAGCCTCATTTATGCCTACACTTGATTTTTAGTGATAATTCTTAGGCCCTGAGGCTCAATCTGATGCAGTATTGATGAGACTCTTTTTAAGTGTCGGAAGTGGGTCAGTGTTTTAATCAGCTTTTTCACTGCACTGATCAGAAGATCTGACAAGTACAATTTTAGAGGAGCAAATGTTTATTTGGGGCTCACAGTTTTGCAGATCTCAGTCCTAGATGGACAACTCCATCACTCTTGGTTCAAGGTGAAGCAGACATCATGGCAGAAGAATGTAGGAGTAGAAAGCAGCTTAGGACATGACAGGAAGCATGGATAGAGTATAAACTCCCAAAACATGCCCTTGGTGACCTACCTTTTTCACCCACATCCCACCTGCCCACAGTCACCACCTAGGTAATCCTTACCAGGTATAACACACTGATTAGGTTAAGGCCCTCATAACCTAATCATTTCACCTCTAAACCTTCTTGCATTGAACATGAGCTTTTGTGGGATACCTCATATCTAAACCATAATAATGAATATATGTGGAAGAAATGTAAACAATTTGTATCTGAAGGGAGACTAGATATTTTATATCACAACACCCATTTTTTTAGTACTTCTGTGAAGTCTATATTTATTTCCTCTTTAGGAAAGTGAAGTCTAGGAAGCTTGACCAAAATATTGTGGGAGTGACATTGTTTCTATTTCTGGCCCAGTTCTTAATAAATTGGCAACTTTTATTTCCTCACTCTTGGGAAGTTTATTTTTGAAACTTGCCACCATGTTAGGAGGAAGACCAAGTAGCCTGTGAGGAGGCAAATATGGAGAGCATCTGAGCCCACAACTCTCAAACCTCTCTGAGCTCCTAACTAGCTCCAACTTTCTGCTGTGTGAGTGCACCAGATTAGAAGTAGATTCTTCCAGCCCACTCTACACCACATGAAACACACAGGACCTCTACTTTGAGCCTTGCCCCAATTATAGATTTGTAAAGGATATACTCAAAAAACATGAATCTACTCAAAAACATGAATCTAATTATTAAATTTTATATATATTTTTGGTTTTATTATTTTTAAGCCACTATATTTTGAGTTGGTGCATTGCATGGGAATAAAAAACCAAACATCTTTGGATGAGGAGAAAATTATTTTGTCTTATATTTGCAAATTTTCTTTGTTTAAATTTTTTTTATATTTCTACATTTTTGAGTTTACCATATATGGATCAAAATCCTCTCATGTATTCTCTCATGTATTCTCTCATGTCCTAATATGTTGGTAATGGTAATCACGTTGAACTCACTGGAACAAACTGAGAAAATGTGATTACTATTTTAAGATAAGATATGAAAATGTTGTGACATAGGATTCTGACATAAATAGAATTACTTTTAATTTCTAGCCTAGTCATTAATCAGAGAATAGATTGTCTGTGCCTGCGTGTACTTAATATTTATCTATTATAGGATATCTATTCTTTATAATCTAGCTATTCTTCATAATCTATATCAAGATAAAACACTGTAATATTATTATCAGTGTTTTAGCCAATTAGAATGGACTGATATTGGTTCTATTAATAATAATAGAATTATTAATGTGGACTCCAACATTGATAACCTGATCCAGTTGTTAATATTATTTGGGTTTGCTCTTTGAGGAGTTTGTCTTTTCACTACAAAAAAAATCATCTTCTTGGTAAGTGTTTTGGAATCATTCAAGATTAGACTCTTCTGATTTCTTGCATTTAAATTCTTCTGACCAAAACGTTTATTTGTACCAACCATTATAAATGGACTCTCCTGTGCAGTCAGTAGGCAATCAAGCCCATGAGCCTTTCCAACTATGCTACATGGGAACACAAGTCAATCTAGCCAAGTCGGTCTCAGAGTCTCCTGAAAGTACAACTCAATTTAAGTATTTTTTTTGTACACTAGAAATAAAAATGATAAGATAATGATGCTGACAATGATGAGAACAACCATCACAATGATAGAGTAATGATAGAGCAAGTTTATTATGTTCTAATTGTGGACCAAGCACGGACATAAGCACTTTTCATGTGTTAACTAATTTAATTATCCAGAACAATCTATGAATTAAGAATTGTTATATTATTTAACATTTTGCAGAAAAGCCAACGAAGACATTCATTTTAAGTAATTTCATTAAATTTTTAGAACTAGTAGGTGCCTGACCAGAGAATTAAAAAACATATATTCTAAAAGCTAAGGATATTTCTTTAAGAACACAAGATACTTGAAAAGATGTCAAATTTCTTCACCTAGTATCATTAGTTTATGCTAATCATAAAAACTAATCTTAGTCCGAGAACTTCTTTTGCATAAATAAGAGATTTTTAAAATTCTGCTTTGTGACCATATCATTTTATGAAATCTTTATTAATATTTGTCATATTTCATTATAAATCCCTGTTGTTTCAGCCAACTTTCTGTTACTGTAACAAAATACCTGAAATAATCAATTCAAAAAAAAGGTTTTTTTCAGCCCAATTTGGAAGAATCCAGTCTATGATTTCTTGGCCCTAGGCTTTGGGGCCTGGGATTAGGCAACATATGATGGAAATGCATCTCACAAAGCCATTCACCTCATGGACAGAAAGCAAAAGAAGAATGAATGGAAGAAGGAGGCCCCATAAAAACTCTTCATAAGAAGGTATGCCCCCAATGTCCTCTGACCCCCCACCTCTTAAAGGTCCACCACTTCCCAATACTTCCATGATGGAGAACAAGGCTCTACCAAGTGGGCCCTTGGGGGGCCTTCCAGATATAACCCATTGCACTTGTTTCCCTATCCTATCCAAATGTTCACTCTCTCAGTAAAGACACAAAGTTGGTGTCCTGAGGGTGTAGTATAGTACCTGAAATGCTTAGAATGCTTGAGGAAATTCAAAATGAAAAACAAATCAATTATGATAACCCAAAGGCTAACTTGAGCCTCAGAAGTAGGCCATCTCAGAGCTCAAACTCTGAACTATTTTTTGTGGTAGTGTTTCCCTCCACCACCAGACCACTTATGCTCCCTCCCAGGGGTCTGACAAATACCACTTCCCTTCTTGAGGCTTTGCCTACACCTAAGCCAGCCTCACTTCTTAAAGAAAGCTTTACTCAGGGGACACATTGGCCATAAATCTTGAAACTGAAAAAGAGAGGGAGCTTCTTTTAGAGAAATAGCAAAAACAATTTTCAGGGGCTATAATGAGAGTGTCCCTGCTGACTGGTCGGCATTGCTTATCTTCTCCTACTCCCACTCCACCCCAGCAGACCTACCCAAAATGGGGCAGGTAAATGAGGCCACAATTGGTAGGGAAATCTGAGAAAGAAAGGAAAGACCCAAGGGGAAAGAGAATAGAGGATCTGAAGAAAAAGAAAGAGTTTCGGTTCTGGGTTCATCTACAAGGTAGTTGGGAGAAGGAGGTAAGTGCATGCCCAGACCCTGGTAGGAAGGGACCAGGAGCAGCTCCCAAACTCCTACCTAAGCCCCCACTTCATGGATGCTTCACGGCAGCCAACAGCCCAACCTTGAAGTGCAGGATGTCTGTCACATGCTTTCAATTCCCCATCATGCTTTGCTCTAAGACACAGGACCAGTCCTCTCCACTGCAGATTACACTGGGGTTGCATATACAGCCAGATAACTGGGAGCTCATTGCTTAAATTTAATAGTAAAGCTTCAATTTCCTTCCTTCCATTGATAAAAGTTTATACTCTCCATTTTGTTTTCAAAAGATAAGCATACGAAGTTACTTTCAAAGCCTGTGCCTTTTTCTGTCTGCCTCACTTAACTTTTCTTACATCCTGGATTTCTTGATCTTGATCCAGACCTGGTCACCAATTCCTCTGGGGTTTGTTGAAGCTGCACGGCATGCTTCCCTGGAAGTAAAAGTTAAAAAGCAAGGACAGAAAAGCTCATGAGGAACCATATTGAAGGTCAAGTTCAGAAGACAATGCAGCTAATGAGAACTTACCAATACTATCTAGGGCTCAGTGCCACCAGAGCTGGAGCCCAGGGCCCCAAAGGTCTTTAGGTGTGGAGTCCACAGCAAATGCTTCATACTGTGAACTGCTGAAGGGATGAAAGTATCATTTTCTCCATGGCCTGGATTTCAAATTTCTCTGTTAAAACCAGAATGCTGTGCACTGGCAGGCAGCTAACCCTTTTTCTTTATTTAAGAAATAAAAATGGATATAGGAAAAGGGAAAAATCCCAAAATAGGATTCCAACCTCTAATCAGAAAGAAATCCCACCAGTCTGATAGAGTTCATATATGTACAATTCACTTCAACTTATTTTTAAAGTTCTTATGTTTTGTGTTTGGTTCATTCTTTCTGAAGACTTCTTCCCAAAGCATTGAAAAGGAAACATTTTGTGTGTGTGTGTGTGTGAGAGAGAGAGATCTTTTAAAAATCACCCTGTGTTATCTGAGAGAAAGAGAAAGAAAAAGAGTCTTTTTTTCCCTTAAAAAAAAAGATATTTAATTTATACTCTAGGTAGCAGCAACAGCAATTACAAAAGTTACCATCATAACAGGAAGACAGCATTATAAACAAAGTTGTTTTGTATGATTCAAAGTGCAGGTTAAATTTGTTGAACTGTTTCTTCACCACAAAAGAGCCTTTCTGCAATTAAGGTGATTTTTCTTATTTAATTGGAAGTTTTATGAAATCTTCATGGCCAATTTTCCTCCATGTTTATTCCCTAAATTGTATTTGTATTTGATAAGAATTTGGAATTGTTTTGTAACATGTACTTTGTAAACACCTGATATCAAAAATATTACTGACTGGTTCATCTTTATGGTACTTGTGAGAACTTGCTTGCCTAATACTCAGCCCATGCACTTTTTGCATATTGCCTGATTTATCATTTACAAAAAACAACAAGAGGAAGCTGCCTTATTAGCAGACCTAAGAATATAATGTAGATTCCAACACCAATGTTCTGATCCAGTTGTTGATATTTGTGTGTGTCGAGATTGCCCTTTGAAGAATTGCCTTTTCTTTCTTTACTAAAAGTCATCTTTTCTTGGTGTTTTTGGAATTTTACACAAGAATGGATTCTTCCCAATTCTTGAACTTGAATTCTTCTGACCAAAATTTTATTGCTTCCTATCAGTCCATTTGGCTTTCCTGGTGCAGTCAATAGGGAATCCACACTCTCAGTCTTTCCAGCTGTTGTACTGTGGATAGCACAAGTCAGTCTTCACCCATAGATGAGGAAGCTAAGACACAGAGAGTTTCTTAAACTCCCTGAAGGTCACGGGGAGGACAATGGCAGAGTGAGGATGCACACTCAGGGGTCCTGCTGTAGAGTCCTGCTACTAACTGGTGCCATGCTCTTCCCTAATTCCCATTTCCCTTCTTACAAGAAGGAAAATATTTTTTTTCTCTGGTTCACAGCCAAATCCTTCTGTCTTTCTCCAAATTGCATTCCACAGTAAAGCCAAAGGAACTCTTTCCTAAAGAAAAGCTGTGTTCTGGTGGGATGGTGTCATACAAATTCCAATGAGTACATGTGTGACTTAACTTTCTCTTGCATGGCACCATTACTGAAATTCATCATGTTATTTTAGACATCAATAGTTTTTTGATGAAGGCAAAGCTCATCCATGGGGTAGAAGTCAGAGAAATCTTAGTTGTGGAGGGGTTCAGGGGAGCAGTAGGTATAGGAGGTCCCTGGGAGATTGAAAGACTACTCTGGGTGCTGAACTTACATGGTTTTCATGGATCAAAATTTACTGATTTTTGCATTTCACTGCAAATCATTCCTCAATAGATGAAACAATTGAGGACATTGCTTAAAATAAATTGCTATTATAGCACCTCAGAAACCTTACTCTCCTACAGCTGTTAGTACCTGAACAGCACCACCCCCCTCCCCAGCCTCAGCTCCCACAGAGTTCACTTGCTCTCTGCAGTTCAACCACATCCACCCCAGAGGCTTGGTTATCCTCAAATGGGCCAAGCCCTACTTTACTCTATGGCTGGGATTCAAATATACTCTTCTCTCTTTCCAAAGCATTGAACCATTTGTCTGATCCACATTAACTTTTCATTTAGATCTTGCCTTCCACCTGAGTGGTGGGGGATGGGGGGACACCCCCCCATACCCCCCCACACAACAGATCACATCACCAAGATAACACCCTCTCATGGTACTAGGTCCCTCCCCATGTTAGCTCTTTTACTATTAGGGTTTTATATGTTTTGTTCTTTTTGGTGGTTTCTTTTTGTTGTTTTAATAGGTTGGTTTTTAGAGCAGTTTTAGGTTCATAGAAAAATTGAAAATGCATAAGATTCCCACTTCCTCCTGTCCCCACATGTGTGCAATCTCCCCATTACCAACATCTAGCTCTAGCGCATGGGCTTGTATCTTTTATAATTATTTGATTAATGTCTTTTCCATTCTAGACTGTGAGCTCCCTCAGGGCAAGAACTTGCCCAACTTTTGTTCTAATTTTTTTTTTTAAATTTATCTCAATGTCCTTCTCTGGTACACAGCTGTATAATATTTATTTAAAAGAGATATTGATAAGGAGCTCTTTCTTTTCATTCCCAATTCAATCTCTATTCCAGTTCACTTTGCAGGTCATTAAATTTTATTTAACAAGTGAAAATAAAATTTTATGTTATTTGTAGGAGAGGGGATATGGTCACAAAGTTATTTTTAAAATAAAAGCTTAGTAATCTGCAAGGGTGGTAGAACCCAAGGCTGAGGAATCACAAGCTTTGAAGTTTATAATTTTTTTCTTTCTAATTAAATGAAAGTAAGTTTACTTGAAGCTCTACTTCAAAAAATTACAGAACTTCTTTAGAATTGTGAGACGAAAAGGTCATAATAATTTTCCCACACTGTCTTATACAACAGCTGAAATTTAGTCTGCAATGAAATATTTTAATCTTCTTTTCTGACTTTCACTCATAATAGAAGGAAGGAAGGAAGGATGGAAGAAGAAAAGGTGGACCTCTAAAGTATTATATAAAACATAAACACAAAGATCATATATAATCACTCCTTCCAGCCTACATCCCGACTCTTAACTGACTAGAATATGGCTGCACACATAATTTTACAGAACCTCTCTAATCCATATTGAAGCTGTATTCTCTGACATTTTTAATTTTATTTTAACTTAGTCAATGATAGAGCAATCCATGCTTTAATGAGTCATATCAATTTTGACTCTATTCCATTCTAACAGTCTGTTTTGTAGCCTTCTAAATTAACTAACCCATATGACATGCCTTTATAAAAGGGCCTACGCAATGTGGAAATTGATGTCCTCCAAGTAGAACCAACTCAGACAAAACAAAACAAAAATCTGGTCAAATTGGTTTGCAGCCACTGCAGAAATCAAGCAACCTAATTTTAATTGGCTGCATTTCCATTCTTCAGTGACTGGTTGTTTTGATATGCTTCCTCCCCGCCCCCAGCCCCCCGAGTTAGGAGCTACAATGGTCATAGAGGCTTAGCATAAATCTCATAAATAAATACAGAAGAAACCTTGCCCAAAGTTACCCTAAAGTTTGGTGTTAATCAGAGAAGCACATGGCCATAGACATCTGTTCAGAGATGAGAGGCCCTTTTGCAGTAGAGAGCTGTTCTGAAACTTTAACCTAAATTAGGCACCAGCTTAAAAGCTCTGCAGTGAGTAAAAGAGCACACAAATCAATTGTCAAATGGAAACCACATATCCATCTGTTATGTCCCATGACTCAGAGTCAGACACTCACGAAAACCGCCAGCAACCCTGTCACCAAGGCACAAGGACATCCAGGTGTCTCAGTCTGTTAATAAAAGTAATGGGCCATTTGGGTGAGTTAGACACATTTGTTTATGGTTTTCCTTCAGCTATCTAGAGAAATTGGCTAGCTGTTTAGCTTTAAAACCAGTTGTTATGGCAACTACTGTAAACAACAGCTTTGACTACTGGCTGGAGAGCCAGGTTGAAATCATCTGTTTAACTAGTGATCTCTCTTAAGAAGCAGAGGTGAAGAGCCTCATATTAACTGATTTCTAGGGATTAACACAATGTTTAGGAGTCAATAAATGTCTGATGAGCAAATGATTGAATACACAATTAAAGTTTCTTCTTAGTTTTCAGTTAGATGTCAACAGAGATGAATCCAAAATTCTTTCCATTGTAGAAACTAGTAGGAGCTTTGAGGAAAGGGTTCCTCCAACACTCATTTACCTGGGCTCACAGCAAGCTCCATCAAAGTCTGCGGGCCTCTTTCCTTCTAATAACTTCCCTTCTTTGACTCACACACTGCTACCAGAATGTCAACGCCATAGGCCCCAGGCTGCCCACAATAGTCTGCTCCTTCTAGACTCTTGCACAGAAAATATCTGAAGTCATAGATGCTTCAACCTATTGGCCTCACACATCATCCTCATCAACTGTCATCCTCCTAGGGAGATGGATGGATAATTTCCCTTTTGCGTTCTGTCCCCTAACATTCCTCAGAAATATGGCCTCCTTGTTTCATCTCGACAAATGACTGCTCAGATGACTTCTATAATGAAGTTGAATGCATGAAATGTGAAGGGAATTGTCATGTGGCAGCTTCCAGGAGTGTTTCTTAATGTGTGCTTTCCACTTTCTTTGTTATTTTTTCTCATCCTGCTGTTTGGAACATGACTATAAGGACTGGTACCCTAGTTGCCTCTTCAGACCAGGCAGGTAATGCTGCAACCCAAGGATGGCAAAGTCAGAGTGTCTCAGGACCACATTGAACTAAGTGAGCTACCCTACTGTGTCCAGGTCACCTACCTCCTGCAAAAGAAACTTTCAATCTGTTCAAGCCACTCTAGTATTGGTCTTTGTGATTTAGAGCTCTGTAATCCTAGTTAATATATTATTGGCCTTCACTCCCTGCCACTCTCCTTCTTATTGCCTTCTCCTGGCAATACCAGCTTTGGTCATCCTCCCATCTACTCCTCCCCATGTTTGTCATTCATCAGTGGAGTAGCCACAAGGAAACTCGCAGTTTCCCTGATCCACTCTTAGATGGGCTGATACACCTTCACCTGCATTTTCCTATATCAGTGTTATGTGATATCTCAGAAATGACTCCAGATGTTTTCCTGTCTTCTGGATGTTCAAAAATGAATCACTCCCAATACACATGTACACACTCGACTGGCAAATCTGCCTCACTCATTGAGAAAAATGGAAATATGTGTTTAGGAATATTCTTGGTTTTCCCAACACAGAAATTATAAGCCCAATGCATACCCCCACTTTTATCTACCTCTTTTTTCTATGGATGCAATGGCCCTAATTTTACCAAAGATCAAATGTTCCAAATGGGTCCTGAATCTGCTATGATTTTAATCTGGTTTGCCCTCTGAAGACTCATATTGAAATTGAAGCCCTTTAGTGAGATGTTAAGAAGCAGGATGAGTTAGGACTGTTAAGAAGTTTACAACCAGAGATACGAAAAATTGTGCTCTATATAGTGTAATATGAATTGCAATGCATTCTGCTGTCATATAAAACAAATTAGAATAAAAAATTTAAAAAATAAAATAAAGAAGTGATTAGAATTCTGTCTTTATGAATAGATTTGACCCACTCAAGCCATAAATGGATTAATGAGTTATTGCAAGAAAAGACCAGCCTTAGAAGCCAGTTTGGCTAGGCCCCTCTCTTCCTATCTCTTGTTATATGACATCCTGCACTACTTCAAAACTCTGAAAACAAGAAGACCATCACCAGACATATCCCTGCATCCTTGGACAGAACCATGAGCCAAAATAAAGCTCATTCTTTGTAACTTACCCAGTCTGCAGTACTGTGTTATTAGCAACAGAAAAATAGACAAGATAGAATCCTAAACCATCCTTTTTTTTGCTTTCTGAAGAATTTTCCTAAAAACTTTCTTTTCCCTTTTATATAATGAATCAATCTCTCTTTCCCCTCCCCTCCACCATTACCATGTGCAAGTTAACACCACGTAGTATCATGGATTATTAAAACAAAACAGAAAACCTCCTTTCTTTCTCTGCTTATGTATCTTCTATGAAGTGCCGTCTCCCCACTGATCTTAAACGGTCACCTCTCAGGGAACTGTCTCTGAGGATCTCCTCCAGTTCCTCACCTTCATACATGTCCTCCAATGGGTTGCTCTCTTCATGCCCCCATGGAAACTGCTCTGACCTGCCAACAGCCAGTGGCACCATGATCCCAAACTCAAGGGTTGCTTTTCTTTTCTGAGTTGACTTGACCTATCAGCAAGAATTTGTTCAGTTGGCCCATCCCTCCCTCTTGAAATACTTTCATCTCTTTGAAAGTCTCTCGTACTTGCCTGGCTCTTCCTTAGTTTCTCAGTTCCCTCCCCAGGCTTGACTTGCAGTGAAGCAGCCACTGGAGTGCCTTTCTTATCTCTGTCCTCACACCCTCCCTGGGTGCCACGCTGGATCACATGGTGGTAAACAGGGCTCTCTGCATTCCCACGCTATCTAGAGTCCTGCCCTACTGGAAATTTGCACACATACGTCCTGCACATATTTGTCATCTCCATTTCCTGACTTCTCCTCAATTGACTTCTTCTCTCAGCTTTCAATCCTAGTAGTAAGCCTGTTGATCATTCAGTCCCCTGATTTCTTCTTCTTTCTCATGGTCTAAATACTTAATTTTTGAGCAAGGTTGTTGGTTTTAAAAACACACAGCAAACTAAACATTTCTCTTTAGGTGTAATTTTATACCTTACACTGGAATATCACAATCGCTGTCTCCTAGACTCAGGGTACTCTTCATGACCATGCCTTCTACCTGCCTGTTTTCCTGCTTGCTTTTCCCTGATCTCCTTCCCTATAATAATCTCTATAGGAGGATGCAGATGTTTACTCTCATACTCCTCCACACCTCCAGCATCTTCAGCAGCTCCAAAGAACTTAGCCAGTGCTCAACGTCTGTACTCAAAATGAATGAAAACCAGTACATTTGCAGAGTAGATCCATTCTGATTGGGCCTTGAAGTCTGTGCAAGTCCAGCCATGTCTGCATTTTGGTATAGTTGTTCAAAATGTCAAGCTATGGGACTCCATACAATTGTGAGGTTCTCTGGACCTCAGACAAAGCATGGAGACAGAACAGGTCAGCAGCCCCTCCAGAAACCAGGCCAGAGAGGATTCTGAACTGTTCTTCAATGGGCCAGCTATGCACATGTGAAAAGCTGAACATACATATTACACAGTGTTAGGACGGGGGCCTTGAATTTATTATTTCTTTCTTTTATGTTCTATTTTTCTTTATTTGGCACTTAAGATTCATGGGCATTCATTCATTTTATTTTTACAAACATGTTTATTACACGCTGCACCCTTGTAAATGCATTGTTAGATCTATCTTTAGCGTCTAAAGCTTTCAAGTCAGCGCTTGGCCTTTTTATGGCTGTGAACTCTTTTCAAAGTCGATATTAAAAAAGAAATCAGCATCAGCTAATCAAATTGTCTTTTTTATTTAACTTGTATTTGATGTATGAAATCTTTCCAGATGAATGGTCGAGTTTTGTTTTATTAGAGATTAGCTCCCACTACTGTTTTTAGAAAACTTTCCGGCTTCTTTCCTCAGGAACTTGCTTTTAAATTGGCCCCAGAGACTCCCAGCTCTGAGACTCTTGGCAAAGGGCGCATGAAGCAGCATCTGTTGGCTGCTGCCTCAGTAACAGCTCTCCTTTGATGTCTTCCTGTCACTGGATGCCTACAGGAGCTCCCCCAGCATCTCCCCAGCTCCAGCTGATGCAGCAGAATCGCTCCGAGAGAAACAGGAGGGAAACAGAGAAATTAGTCCTGGTTAAAAATGAACAACAAGATTCCCTCCCTAGAGTTTCACCAAAACCTTCTGGCTGTACTTCCTTGGGGCTACTCCATCAGGATTCTCATTCCCCTCCATAAAAGCTCTTCACATTCTTCTACTGGTATTCTAAGACATCACTTTTAGTTCTTTTTTATTATTATTACTTGCTTTCATTTTCAGCTTTATTGAGGTATGATTAACAAATAAATTTATAGACATTCAGATTGTACAGTGTGATATATATATATATATATATATATATATATATATATATACACATATAGTTATCACAATTGAGTTAATTAATACATCTATCACCTCACATAGTTACCTTTGTGTATGCATCTGTACTGAGAACACTTGAAATTTACTCCCTTAGCAAATTTCAAATGTACCTTTCTCTATTATTAACTGAAGTTACCGTGCTCAGCATTAGTTCTCTGGAACATATTTATCTTATTACTCAAAGTTTCAGCCCACTGACATTATCCCCTTTCTGCCTACCTCCAGCAGCTGGTGGCCACCACTCCACTCTCTACTGCCCTGAATTCTACCAGTTTAGGATTCACATATAAGTGAGGTCAGGCAGCATTTATCTTTCTGTGAATGGCGTTGTTTATTGAGCACAGTGTCTTCAAGGTTGATCCGTGTTTTCAAATGCAGCAGAATTTCCTTCTCATTTCAAGCTGAGCGATATTTCATTGCGTATCTACATAGCAAGAAAATGTTTTTAAAGTATCCACAGTAAAGCAAGAAAGAGAACTTTCTCCAAAATTTTCAAAAATTTCATTTTGAGAGGTTTGGGAAACAGGGAGATACTAAATTTCACACGAAGATCAGCATGACTGAAGTGTGGTAAAATGTTTAGTCACATATGTGGACACTGTTCTCTAGTGGACCAGCATCAAGGTTTCTATGAAAATTCTTTCTGTGGGTGAGACACTTCTCTGACTAACTATAGATGCTGAGAGCCAGTGTGACCGTAGAGCTGCCTTAAAAACTCCCTCATTGGGCAGATGAGGAAACTGGGGCTCCCAGCAGTGAGTCCAGAGCCCTGTGCAACTTTCTGCTAGTACTGAGGGCAACAATAGATGCCTGGGACTTTGCACAGTGTTTCCTGTTCAGGGTGCCAATTTACCTAATCCCCTGTTCTCTTATATTCTGCACCTAGTGGTTCCCAGGCAAGTGTTGTCCAGAATCTGTCACTATGATATGTGAATCCTCAAATCTCAAGCATTCAATAAGATATACAAATTAGGATGTAGGTAAAGGGGCCTGTCCCTCACTAGGTCCCCAGATGCTCAGCTTCTTCTGTCCCTAGTCTCCTTGGTTCAAGGGCAAACCGAATGAATTCAAAGCAGGCAGTTTAGGCTCAAAAGATTAGTCCTTCGCTGTTTTATGTTGTTGTACTGTGTCTCATTTAACAACAAAAGGGGATTCCTCCCACTTTCCTACCACAGGAACATGCAGGGTCCATTTCCTCTGTGTCAATCCATCTAGGCTATGGGCAGGGCTGCAATTCCCACTGAGAGGACAACCATAGCTGAGCAGGAGAAAGCATCTTCCAGTGAATGTGATAACTAAATAGTTACAGGCTGAAAGATAAAACACAAATCTGCTCTTTTAAAAAGAAATATTTGAATAGTAAGGAAACAAATTACAAAGATCTGTTTTCCATGATGATCTATGGAAGGCTACTGACCTGACTCCATGGTGATATCTATGAATGCAGACAGGCCAAGGTATGGGTTGGAGAAGCCTTGAATCCCTGGGCCAGTGTGTGGGGGAGGTCAGGAGTCTGGGGAAGCCCTGAAAGGGAGTAGGTGGCATCTGGTTGACCAGTTTTCATGGGCAGCAGCTGCCTGAGAAGAGGTCTAGCTGTTGTAAGGAGCAGAAGAACCCAGGGTGACTGGCAAGGCCTAGCATAGCATATAGGCACATGGGACCTGGGAAGGAGGCTGGAATTGGCCTGGGGTTCTTTACAGAACTTACAGGAAGCTCCAACTTGAAGGGATCAGTAGAGTAAGATGGAGGTGAGTTTGGTGAAACTAAAATGTTTGATCTCAGGAACTAAAACTGATTGGAGTATGGAGTCACATATTTTTGAGACAGCAGACTCACCCAGGACTTGTTTCCCCAGCATATTCTTGGAATATGAAGAGATGAACACCCAAAACATGTAGTCTGGCTGCTTAGGTTTAAATGCCACTTCTGCAACTTGGCACTCAGGTCAGCAAAGGCAACAATTAATTTGGTAAATCTCAGACCTGTGTCTAACCGAGCCACTGCTCAGGATGGTTGTCAGAATTTAAAGGAGGAGCACACAGAGTTCTGGGGACATATTGAGTGTTCAACAAATAATTTCACACTGCCAAAGATTACAGGTAAATATTTCTGTGAGTGTGATGGGAAGGGAATTTGCTGGGAAGGCACAAATCCTGAAAGATATTTACTAATCTGCTATCAAGATGAATGTGAACTTCTAGTAGCCCAACAGAATTGGAGAATTTTTTTCTCATGCCCATACAGGAAACAGACCAGACACATAAAACTCAGGCATCCCCCCTGGATCTGCAACTGTGAAGCTGGTTGCCAGGATGGCTGTAGGTCCACATTAGAGATGGCTCCATATGTCCCCAGTATGTATATATGTATGTGTGAGTGTATACACACACACACACAGGCACACACATATATAACATATTTTCTTGATTAATTCATCGTTGATGGACACCTAGGGTGGTTCCACAGTTTGGTTATTGTGAATTGTACTGATACAAACACAAACATAGGTAGACATGTATCACTGTAGTATGCTGACTTTAAATCTTGAGGATAAATAACAAGGAGTGGTATAGCTGGGTCGTATGATGGTTCCATTCCTGGTCATTTTATTTTCACAGTGGCTGTACTAATTTACAGTCCCACTAGCAGCATGACAGTATTCTTTTTTCTCCAAATCTGCTCCAGTGTTTATTATTTGTATTTTTGATGACTGCCATTTTGACTGGGGTGAGATGAAATCTCAGTGTAGTTTGCTACACAAATTGCTAATGATGTTGAACATTTTTTCATATATTTATTGGCCGTTTGTATTTCTTCCTTTGAGAAGTGTCTGATTGATTCATTTGCCCATTTATTAATTGGGTTATTTGATTTTTTTGGTGCTAAGTGGATGCTAATCCATAATTGGGGGGTAATCTATACTGGGAGGGCATGGGATGAGTGGAGGAACTTTGGATTGGTTAAAGGGGAGGGGGATATGGGGGTAGGAAAGATGGTGGAATGAGATGGACATCATTACCCTAGGTACATGTATGATTGTACAAATGATGTGACCCTACTTTGGGTACAACCAGAGAAATCAAAAATTGTGCTCCATTTGTATACAATGAATCGAAGAACATTCTGCTGTCATATATAACTGATTAGAAAAAAAATTTTTAAATCCCCTAAAAAAAATTCCACTCCAAGGAATGTGAAGAGATAATCTATAGA